TTAATATTCAGTGGATGTAAATATTCTACTTTTAAATCGCATAGGTGATTGTTTCCATCCCAAAATCTGAGATCAGAGAATTTAAAAAAAAATGCATTGTGAGATAAGGATCAAGAAAAGTAATTTTTCGTCCTTCTTGAATGGTTGTTTTTTTTAGCTCATGCACCCCGATCGCAAAATATCTACAGGCCCCTTGACACAAAATGATAAGTCAGGGACAAAATTAATGGTTTCCATTGTCTTTCTCATTTGTTTCTTATACAATTGTTCGTTTTGTCTGCTCTCATCAACTTTATACAAATGCAGTATTATTGAAATAGTTTTATGTTATAAATCAAATTAAAACACCAATACAACGGTTTAGTACCTACTAAAATATATGTAGAATCAAATATGTAAAATCATGCTATTTTACAATTCAGATTCAAAATTATTAAAAGAGAACATAGGATGTCATTTTGTGAAAGCTAGGTACAGAAAACAATTTTACATCCTAAACTGGAAAGGAAACGCGTACTTTTGAATATAATATGAACGTTTATCAGAACTGAAACAAACAAAAATTTCAATCAAGATAGGGAACATTGAACTGGCGGCAGACTAGAAAGTTCAAGAACAGCCAATGGTTAAACTATGATTCATACCATTGCACGAACGGAAATAAAGTATCTAGTTTCTTACATAAATCAAACATAAAAATTAACTCTTCATTGTAAAACATCTCGAAGGTAATTTTGTGAAGTTCCAAAAATTTTACATGATTCTATTTCACTTTTAAATCCCACTTTTGAATGAATTGTGATAGTTTTATTATCCCAGTTAACTTTGGGAGTAATTGTGTGTTTGTACAATCAGAGTGTTTTTTAACAAAATTATTTTGCAGACAACAATGACGAGGTATCATATGTCTTGTACAGATAACAAGAGTGAAATGAACTAGAAACATTTTATATTCTATTAAACATCAGTTTTGTTGTGAACCTTTTATTTCCCATACCCATACTAGCCATCTGTTTGGAATTTAAAAAAAAAAAAAAAAAAAAAAAAGTATTTATTGGTTTTTGTTCCCTGTCATAACTAAATATTCTAACCAGTCTGGTGATAACAGCATCAGCCCTACTAGTGTGTTCGGAACCTTTTACAAGGGTCGTTCAATAAATAATGCAAAATAAAATGTCATCTAAAAATAGGAAAAGCATGTAAAGCAGATTCTTAATACTTTCAATCCCTAAAAGCATTCCCTGTAAACATTTACACATGTCTAAAGTCTGTGTACCCATGACCAGAACACCTCAGTATACTCATCTTTAGGGATGCCCCAAAGACACTGATGAATTATAGCACTTTCCATGATATACCTGAAATTGTAAAATCTTCCTTTGATTACTTTCATATGTTTTTGGAAGAAAAAGATCTCACAATGGCTGAGATTTAGCTTATATAGGGGATGCCCAAGCTCTGTAAACTTTCCTTTCTTCAAAATTTTATTTCTCTATGCTTATTTGCAGCAGCGTTTTCAGGTGCAGAAAAATACTCCGGGGACCAGTATTTGGGCTTGCTTTGCAGGAAATCTGCTTAACTTTCCTATGTGAAATTTTTACATAAAAGTTACCATTGATAGCCCTTCCTTTGGCTGTATTACATGTTTTACTGGACCTCTTGAATGAAAAGAAAATTAATAAAACATATTTCGAACTCTTGCTTCTCTTTGCAATAATAGGACGACATCTTTCTCTTTTATTCCACATTTTATTCTTAATCTTCCTTTTCGGCTATAAAAAAGTACACCCATGTTTCGTTATCCATCACTCAAGGTTATCAAATCTTTTTTGTAAAAATGTTTATTTTTAAATAGACCATTTGTACATTTAACGTGTGTTTTCTCTTAGGCATTTGTAAAGAAATTAGGCACACATCTGATAGAATTATTGTTAGATTCATTTTATTTGTGGGAACTCTATAAACTGTTACGACGATGAAATGTTTCGTGTTTTAGCAAAATCTATCTACGGAAATTTGGCATTTTCAGATATCATGTTGCTCACAGCATCGATATTTTTTGGTGCCCCTACAGATTTCGATCGACCAGTTTGACTGCAATCTTTTAATTGTACTTTTTTTCCTTTTAAATTTCCAAATCCATCTGAAAACTATACAGCGTGAAAGACTAGTCTTTCCACATATCAAAATCATATCTTTAAAATGGGTTATTCAGCTGTTTATGTAATGAAGCACAGTTTTCATATACGCCCTCATTTTCATCGTCTTGGCAGAGATCATTTTTAAACAGTTTTCAGCTCAGTGTAGTGACCATGCTTACTTTAAAAGTGAATTCATTTGCTACAACAATAGGAAAAAAACATGGGTTTTTCTGTGATTAGAAGTTCTTAAATAGAACTTTTCAACTGTTAAAAAATAAAAGTAAATACTTCTACATTTATTGTGATAAACTGTATATTGCATTACTTATTGAATGACCCTCGTATTTTTCGGTATTCTGCAAATTATAATACCTGAGTAGTTCGCAGTAGCTCTGGCGCAAGATTTATTGAGACTACAGCGAGACTGTTAATGGATAAGGTAAATTATTCATGGAAGTGTAGCTAGGAAGTGACAAGTGCCCCTTTGTCATTGAAACTTATTAAAAGCAATATGAGGGACCCCAAAAGACCCATTGTCAATTGATAGATAATAAACATCACGCAATTAGCTACCCGAGATATTTTCAGAATATAGCATCCAGCTTCCTATCAAAATACCGGGTTCAGGAGTGGTATCATACTTTGTGATAACTACTGCAGTTTAATCTTCACGGAACTGCAGTATAAATTAAGCATTTGCCATATAAAAGGCAACAACTGTTTAGTGTGATTATTCTGAGAAAAATAAGAAGTGCGTGAGAGGTAAATTGATGAAGCAATTTTGGAGTTTTGTTAAAAATCATTCTTATTCTTATATGCATGATATGACTTGGATCCTATTGGATCGTTTTTGCCAATCCTTATTTTATTTTTCACTTTTTTCTTCCCATAGCAGGAATGGGAGTACCAAATCCCCGGATGTACATGTGGTTTTGTTTGTTATGGAAAGTAGTATTATAATAGAGTACCGAATAGTGTGTATTACACGATTGGCTGAATTCAGGTACATGTAAAATTTCATTTTCATTTTAAAATAAAAATATTAATGTTTGAAATAAACGATGGAATGTAGGAAATTACAGAAAATATAGAAATACCAGGGGAGATTGTAGGAGTGGGGGTTGATATTTTTTGACAGAGTGTCATTTACTGCCGATCGCTAGAAATTGTAAACAACTGCAATTTTGACCTATAAGCGCCATGGGACCCTATTTTTTCGAGCTTATTTATAAGCGCTTAGAATTAAGTTTCAAATTATGCCAAGGATTTGTCTGAAATTGAATTAGTACAGTACTGAGAGGGCAAAAGGTTTGTATAGATTCTATGGGAAAATAATTAGTACTCTTTTCCCAGCAACACTAAAACCGAAACACACTGCATGATATGCATGTAATTTATGCCAAAACTGTCGTATTCGCTTGGAAGAAAAATGTTAAATCGTCAGCTACAACATAAAATGGTTAAAAACAACAAAATGTCATTTTCTGAATTTAAATGCCTTTTCAAAAGGACATTGAGTCATTTTTTCGTAGGTTAAAAATGCACCCTTTTTAAAGTTACAATTAGTCACTCCCTAAAATTAAAAAATATTTATTTGATATATTTTAAAGCTTTAGTCCATTATTATTAATTTCATTTACTACAAAAACTTCCTTAAGCCTTTGATTGTTTAAAAATGCCTTTTATATTCCTTGTTCTGTGGTAATTTTGAGAAACATAAAAGGAGATATTTTCATATGCCGCCCTTCCACCAAAAATATAGTCCCTGCTAGATTTCAAAGTCAGTTTACCATTACTATTTCATATTGTACAATTACGAAAAAGAAAGCAAAATATGATCTTTAAAATCCTTAACATCTAAATATAAAAGACTTGTAAGCAAATATACTTTGAGTATTTCATTTAGTCAGAAAACAGACCAAATCATTAATAACTATAGGTGCAACGTAAGGCAAAGCAAGGCAGCTTTCTCGAGAAATAAAAGTTTTACAGAAAAATAGGTACTTTAATACTGTCGCTAGACTACGCTTCAAAACATTTTTTAAAAGTTTTGTTTTATTTGGAATAATTAAAAGCCCTAAATTATGTTAAGAGTTCTATACTTAATTTAGAGACCGCATGTTGTACGCTTACTGAAATTTAGAGTTTATATCCATAGTTTACAAATATATTAGATAATCAAAGATTTGCAATTGCATATCAAACTTTACCTTCTTAAATATAATTTAAATATATGTAAGTTAAGGCGTAAATCATAATTTAGAAATTTTTCACAAACCAGAATATATCTTAAAGAGGTAGGTAAAGTATTTCAAAATGTACAAAAGAAAGATCAAAATGCATGTAGTTTAATAGAAATCATTTAGGATTTTTATTAAGATTGTTAATTTTCTGGAGGAGAGCTGCTGTCCCAGTTTCCAATGTATTTTGTATCATTTATGTCTGTTGTGGTCAACATTACGTGTATAATATAAGAACAATCTATTTTCTGGAGGAGAGCTGCTGTCCCAGTTTCCAATGTATTTTGTATTATTTATGTCTGTTGTGGTCAACATTACGTGTATAATATAAGAACAATCTATTTTCTGGAGGAGAGCTGCTGTCCCAGTTTCCAATGTATTTTGTATCATTTATGTCTGTTGTGGTCAACATTACGTGTATAATATAAGAACAATCTATTTTCTGGAGGAGAGCTGCTATCCCAGTTTCCAATGTATTTTGTATCATTTATGTCTGTTGTGGTCAACATTACGTGTATAATATAAGAACAATCTTCCTTTCTCTCCATTTCTTGAAATTTCAAAATATACTAGTATTATTAAATCATATATTCATCATTGTTTTCGTTTTTGAGTCCATTTACATTTTGGTATCGAAAGCAGCGTTCGCAATGCCGTTCATATGACTGTCTCCATTCGTTGTAGAACGCTTTTCCAACAGTTTGTGTAGGATTCCTAAAACTGCGGATTTTGGCGTGAGACCAATTCTAAAGAAGCCGAGTTTCTCATTGTCTATATCACGACAGTCCACTACCGTTGAAATGGCGTTTTCTCTTGAAGGACCATCGCACAAAATGCCATCACACTGAAACAGTGAAATAGTGTTAAAAAGAAGCATTAAATTTGCCTTGAAGCTCCCGAGAAAGTCATATTTTGGAATATTTTTTTTTTAGATTGAAGCCCCTCTCAGGAATTGTTGTATGACGTTTTAAGTCAATCTCTTTCAAGAAAATGATTTGATTTTCATAATGAAAAGTTAATTATAAAACTTAGTGATTTAAAGTATCACTTTGGGTATGAAATAAAATTGATTTATAAAAAAAAATAAGACACAATGGTTCTAGGGAATTTTGAAATGCGCTGTTTCTTTCATTTCTCTACATTGGGTATGTAACCCAAGTAGAATGTTAGAATGTCTTTCATTTGAAGAAGATTGAGATTCATATCTATGAAGAAGATAAATAAATTCATTACCATTTCAATTCCAAGCTTTGCCAAAACCTGGAGGTGGTGGGTGGTATCTCCCTCCCCTGTCGGGTTTGCTGACGTCACAGTCACTGGTCCACACTGGTCAATAAGATGACAGGTAATAGTACTGTCTGGAATTCGGAGAGCGATGCTATCTGAACGACCAACGTACTTTTCTGATTCTCCGAGACCCAAAGATTTTACCCATTCACCTGACAAAAAGCAACCTTTTCAGTGATATAATGGTGAATAATAGAACTGGTAGTAATGATGTCTATTCTAGAATTATTTTCAGATTTATTTTCGAAACAAAGAAGGATTTAATTAACCTCTCTTCACAACAACGGAAACATTTGATGGCCATATTTCATGTAGGAAGTCCCAAAGAAGTGAGCTGAATTCATGGCGAGCAACTTCTATTTGTTTGAAGTTGGATATCCAAACTGACATCGGCCTGTCCTTACCATGCTTTTTCGACTTGTATGCTCTCTGTAAAAAAAAAAGTCCCGATTTTGCCGTTATTTTTTTTTATTTATTAAAGCTTACAAAGAATTTACTTCTGTTTTAATGGACTTTGAGCTTGAATAGTTCGTTATCTCCATATTTCATCTGAATAGCTTCATCCGTATTTTCCCCCCTAAAACTGCATGCAAAATAGAGTTACAATCCGGTTGTACTAATTCAATGGACTTCAAATGTGCATGTGAAGAATTTCTCTGACACAACTTTGCTTTCATCAACTATTCTCAGTTTTGATTTCAGCTTAAATTTCAAAGCATGCACTATCTTTTGATACATTAAGAAAAACCATCGTCGACTGAAAAAAAATCGATTATTTGTGTATGTGTCTAAAAGCAGCAACATACCTCGACAGCTTTAGGTTGATGACAACAGGCGGCCAGAATGTATACTGTGTCTGTGGGAATTCCACATATACCACCGGTCTTCAGCTTTTCTGTAGACATAGAAACAATTTAGACATAGTAAAATGAACACTATTTCAGATTATCTTTTATCTTATTGCATATATTGATTGTCAGAGAGAGAGAGAGAGAGGGGGTACCTGCAATTTCTTTTACTCCTCTCGCTCTTCTAGATGATGCCAACAGAATCTGATCATTGTACTTTGTTATTTTACTGATTTGTAGAAGAGGTTTCCCAGAAGGTAATACTTCTCTTACAAAGGTCAATTTTAATGTCGACGATAAAAGAGCGTAAAAAAGGGACAGAGAATACAAAACTGCGGCTGTCTTCTCATAAATAAATCCATCAGATATACCTAACACTTGCAGAAGACTTGTCAACATAAAGAGAACAAAACATAAAGATATACCAATCCAAACCTTATTCACAGTTATTGACATGCCTAAAAACACTACTCCTACCAACAGAAAACCGCTTAGTCCAACCCCTAATGACATCCCTGACTCAGATCCAATAAGGTCTAATGATCTCAAACTTCCCCAGATGGACCAAAACGAGGCAAAAATTAGAAAAAATGAACTTTCCAAAGTCTTTCCCCTAGAAAAACCAATAAATCCAACAACGAATTGAATGAAACATCCAAAAATTAATTGCCAAGGCAGAGATAGCAATGTTGTTTCATGTGGGACCCAGGAAAACGAAAGGACGCTAATAATATTGGAGACATAGCCTATATTTTCCAAAGTAGCATATTTGGAAATACCGAGCATTGGGTCGGACTCAAACACGTTACTTGAGTTAACCATTTCCACTTTATTTTCAGCCAAAATTTTCTGCATACAAAACTTTTGCCTTAGTTTAGAAAATACTTTTTGTCCAACAGGAAGCTGGATTTTAAACGAGAAGGACTTGAACAAAGAAGCGATATACCCATACATGTAAACAACAAAACAAATCCAAGTAAAGGCTGCTAATGAAACCTCACGTTTAAAGGTTAAAGTTAACATAAAACCCGAAAGAAGCACGTACTCTAATGATAGCAGAATCTCTGAGTGTAAGGATACAGCAGCTATCGTAAGAAGAATCATAGACAATGGGATCGAAACGGCCGGAAACAGAATTTCCGAAAAATCTTTTATGACTGTTATATACATGGACCCACCTAGAGAGGCCCAAAACAGACCATCAACAATAGAATATGTAGATATGGTGGTGTTACCTCTCCTCATTCCAGATATTCCATGAAAAAGGAGAAATAACCCAGAGACTAATGGCCAAATAAAACTAATGACAGTATTCTTTGTTAATGTACTACTTCGCAAGACCCAAGGGGAAAGTGAAAGAACATTTAAAGCATATCTGATGACTCTCTTATCGTCAAAGTTAGTTTTATTATCTGAAGGTTTCGTTTCTGTATTCCCAGTAAAATGCTCTAGTGCAGCCCTAACACTGACGTACGCAGTCACAAAGGCTAACGAGAGGAACAACAGACTATGCCCTTTAAAGTTTGTCCACGTGTTGATGATAACACACACTGATAACAAAGACGCCACAAGCATGAAAACAACCATATCCTTCTTCTTGTTATGTAAAATCAAACAAACAGAGAAAATAAAATATAGAACTATAAGGACCCCATGACCCGGAAGTAAGACGTCTCTTTGTGAATATTCTTCGACCGAAATATTTCTTTCGTATAACTTTGGGATGATCATCTCCCAAGAAATATTTGAGAGACCAACTGCAGTCCACACGGTACACACCATAAGTAGCACAGTGGTTGTGAGTGTTGTGTCTCTTGAAGGCCTTGTGAAAACTGTCGAGAAAACATCACTTTATATGCAACGGTTATTCATTGAGAAATTCTAATAATCATTGTATTAATTATTTTTTATTGCCAATAACTTACTGTAACAAAATAAAAGAGTGTCCATATCTACCATGAAGAATTTTTTTAAAAACACTTTTTTAGATTTTTTGGAAAAAAAGATCTTAATCCTAGTCACTCAAGAGGATTATTTTCGTAATTTTCATTGACTGAAAGGACGTCAGGTGATATTCGTCCTTTTGTGATATTGACGCGGTGTGTCCGCGGAATATGATATTGCACGACTCACCATTTCTGTACTGTAATAAGCAATTAACGGCTGACCAAAATTACGTGGAACGTGACGTAATAACATAAGAAGCATGTTTTACCATTGTGACGTAATCACAACCAAGCTGTTCAGTTAGAACTGTGTCGAATTTTTCACTTTGGGTGATTATTTAAGCATTGAACTCATATTTTTGGATGTCGTCGGTCCTATAACACACCTGACCGTGCCGACAAATTAAATACCGCGCGTTAGCGCGGTATAATAATTTGTCGGCACGGCCAGGTGTGTTATAGGACCGACGAATCCAAAAACAAGAATTCAGTGCTTATATTTACATTCTTTAATTTTCTCTCTTTATAATTGTTTATTTCGTTATTCTTTAATGTGACTTTAGCGCCCTTCAGAACTGGTGTGCTTGATAGACGTAAAAGTCGTTTGTGACGTTGGAAAGTTAAATAACGCAAATAAACATTGCGAAGGGAAAAAAATGACAAATTAATTTTAAATGCACATCTGTTGTATTTTTACGTTAATTCAGCAGGGTAGTTGTTTTTCATTAAACTGAGTAAAACCAATATACATTTTGGTGTTCGTAGAGTATTGAAAATGCATATAGTTCCTATACTGTGTATTCTACCGCGCGGTGACAAGGTTTCGCGTGTGTTATAGAGATTTGAACGTCGTGGATATCTAATGGATTTCATAAAGAAAATTACACTGAATGTAAATATAAAGAAATGAACAACATTTCCAGTGAACATGGTACTATGAACAACATTTGCTCTGCAGACTACGTGTATACCATGACGCCCGTTAGGGCGTCATGGTAAATATGCCTGCAAAGCTAATGTTGTTCACAACACCATGTTCACTGAAACAACGTTGTCTATTACTTAATTATATTTGCGTTCTGTGATGTTGTCCAGAATATCAGAGAAAATCCTGACCTTGATGTGGGATTGGCTTCTTGTCTTCATTGGAAAAAGTTACTAATGACAATAAAATTAGCAGACCTGATTAATCCATCTTATTTACAATAAATAATATACAATATAAATGTGTTATCAATCTCTGTTATCTCTCTAGACATCATGCCGTCTTCAAATTCTTGTAAATTTTTGCTTTGATACAGTGGTGACTTAGCTTGTTAATTTTATGCGAGTGTGAGAAACGAACTGCACTCATAGCAGAAGACGCAATGTCTTCTGCTTCATAGTGATATGATTGCAACCGGTGAGTGTAGGTTCATAAAGGGAGAAAGCAGAGTATGCAAATATCATAATATAACTGTTATGGACTTCATTGAACGGCCAATACGTGGTAATAAGGACCCATGTCCAGTTATATTGACCTCAGACACAGAAAATGATAGCTACCTCACCAGCACGGTTGCTATCATCTTCCTTGTCTTCGGTCAACATTACTTGACATGGGTCCTTATAACGACGAGGTCGCTATCATTTTCTGTGTCTGATGTCAGTATCACTTGATATGGGTCCATATAATCATATATCGACCTACACTGAAGTCCATAATTGTATAATATACGAGTAAACAGGCCAAACTGAAAAAAAATATTTTATTTAGAATACCAAGAAAACACTTAAATATTATTTCCTCTTGACTAACTTATAACCATAGGATACATAAATATATATTATTATAACAGTAACTTGATCCGAAGAACCGTATCACGTCAAGTTGGCAGGCGCGGATCATCAGATCAAAAGAGACGCGAAGCATCGAGTTTGGTCTGATGATCCGCGCCTGTCGACGAGACGTGATACGGCTCATCGGATCAAGTTACTGTTGTAATGATAAATTTATTATATACCCCTTTACAACTAGCAAAATATAATAAAAGGAAACTTTTTGATTCAATTACATAACTTTTATCCATTAAACAAATCATTTTGTCAAGGAACTTTTTGATGCGCGAGAATAAAAACGTCATTTATCCGTGTACTACGTCATCAGTTTCAGAGAGGGGTGATATGGATTCAGAAAACCACAGTGTGGTGATCCGGAACGTCGGATCACACCGTCACGTGATTGCATAAATTTAATAGTAAAATTGAGTGACAAACAGTTGGGTATATGATAAATATTCATACATAATTAAAATAATGACGTCTTACCACATAAAGCCGCAAGAGCAGCAAGTATCAGCTCGGCAGTCCCAACAGTAAGTGGTGTCAATAGGATTGAGCCGTGTGTCTCAAATATTAGAAAATTAACAGTATGTAAAACAAAGAGAATACTCAGCGATATCAAAGAACTCGCAATAGCAGACATTTTCCTTTCAAGAATGGATCTATAGAAAAATAATGTCTATGAGCTCTGCAAAATTACAGATTGTATTATTCGTCTTCATTAGGGGCGGAGCGCTTCGTTCTATTTTAACCCTTTCCATCACACATTCCCCTACCTATCGGTTTCGGGCAACTTAACATAGCATTAAGTTAGTATGATCATAGGGATTCCTTATTTAGAAACGCCTTTATGTTGACATTTAAAGGGTAACGAGATACTCATTTGTGCCTTTATGTAAATCCCCTAATTTTGAGTCTTACAGGAAAAACTAAGCAAAAAGAACATATGTATTAGGCATTAGGCTGTCTTTGCTTTTAATTATTCCACAAAAAGAATTCATGGATTTGAAGACAGCTAGCAGCGGTCGTTCGGAGCAATTTGCGGCCATCCTTTACTCGGAACCCGCTGCTCTGGGGCTAGTGTGTAACTCTGTTGCAGCATATGTTGTGGCCGTTGGAAACATAATACATGTGAAGGAAGAGGTTTCAGGACTAACAACGATTGTTGCAGGAGAGTATTAAAAAACGAATTTGTCTCATTGCACTTTTTTTATTCTAATGATTTACATCAGGTTATGGCAAGCTGAAGCCTTGTTCTGTGTTTAAAATAATTACCATAAAAGCAGTGTTTTTCTTAATTACTGTACAACTATTCATATACATTAACCGTAAAATTTATCTAAGAAAACGATCAACCAGTTAAAAACTGTTTCAGGTGTCCACTTGATTTTGATTGGAGGATTTCTTCAGTTAACATCGGGAATATTGAGTTTCCGTAGAAACGACCACCTAATAGGAACGACTCTCGCTGTTTTTGCCACACTATGGATATACCAAGGCTTTGCAAATATTGTTATGAAAAACAGTAGTAGTGATGTTACAAAAACTGCTCTTCCAGTTCTAATTGCCTATGGTACTATAGCTTTGTCACTATTCTTGTGTTCCTTGTTTGTTAATTTTATCATTCCCCCAATTTTAGTGGCCATGACGTTGACTTTGATATTTGAGTCTGTAGGTCTTTTCTATGACTGGGGTAAGAAAACTGCTGTTGCATTTGAACTTATAATCGTTCTAACAGCTATCTACGCAGTGATTGTTATTGCAACAAAGGGTATAAGTCAGAGGTATATCTTGCCAGGATTTGGAAATGCGCCTATAGATCCACTGCTTATAAAAAGAAACGTCAAAGGGTCTAATAAAAAGGAAAAACGAAAGAACACTAAGTATGCTGAACCAATGGGGATGGGCTACATGGGAAGTACCATACCAGCCACCGTGGTATGTTTTCTTGGTCTTGGGTACTTTCAGGATATGAGGGTCCCGATCATCGGTATTGGTTGTGGCTCTTTCTTGCAACTCCTGGCAAGTTATTACTCTTTCCTCCGTGGTGATGTCTTTAATAGTGTTCAGTTTATGGTACACTTTATATTTTGGACTTCCAAGTCTTATTTTTTTTATATTTTGTCTATTGACTCGAATCAGATGACATCGACTGTAAATTATTATGGTTCTTGGGGAGTAGTGTTGGCTTTGGTATTTATTACAGTCTGCTCTTCCACTCAACCAATTGTTGTTTTTATGTATAATTGTCTTCTAACCTCGACCTCAGTGTTGTCGGTAGATCACATTCCTCAGTCCATTCAGTATTATACGTTTGGGATTTCTGCAATTTTGTTGTGGATATTCACAGTATACATTTCCACTGCATTTCTACTAAATTCTTGCGCCGAGAAACCTGTCTTATTCGTTGGATCAGAGTTAGTCTCCGAAGAACGTCTTTTTTTCTGTTGCAAGAAGAAAACAGAAAGGTTAGACAACCTCATTTACTCGTTTATTAAGATTCTAATGCTACTCATTTATTATATGTACTAATAAACTCTAATCTGCAGGAATGAAGAAGAGAATGATACTTCAGAGGTTGAGGATGACGAAAAAAGAGTTCAAATAATAAACACTCTATTTTTCCTCTGCAATATGGTAGCAGCCATTGCTTTATCGCCCTTAGAAATAGCCAATCAGAAAGCATCATTTTCGTTTCTGCTGAGTGCTGGTGTTGTTGGAAATGCAATAAATGCCCGCTACTCATATGCAAGTGCAAGTCTTTCACATGCCTTTGTGTGTTTGACTGGAAGTGTGATTTGGTCGGCCTGGTCAATTCATATATTTCACGGTATGGAAACAGATTGTTGAATGTCGCATTTTTATGCCCCTGGATCGAAAGATCCCGGAGGTATATTGTTTTTGTCCTGTCTGTCTGTTTGTTTGTCTGTCTGTTGTCAACTTTAACCTTGCCCATAAATTTTGATTGGTTGGAGCTATGACTTTCATATTTCACATGTGTATTCCTTGTGACAAGACCTTTCTTTGGGTACCATTATATTTGACCTATTGACCTTGACCTTTGAGTTTGACCCACTTTTGCAAAATTTTATGAGACTTTAACCTTGGCCATAACTTCTGAACAGTTGGTGCTTGGGGTTTCAAACTTCACATGTGTATTCTTTGTGACAAGGCCCTCCTTTGGATACCAACAACTTTGACTTTTTGACCTTGGAGTTTGACCTACTTTTGAAAACCTTTAACCTTGGCAATTACTTTTGAACAGTTGGTGCTTGGGATTTCAAACTTCACATGTGTATTCCTTGTAACAAGACCTTCCTTTGGATACCAACCACTTTGACCTTTTGACCTTGACCTAGGAGTTTGACCTACTTTTGAACAACTTTAACCTTAACCATAATTTTTGAATGGTTGGTGCTAGGGCTTTCATACTTCACATATGTAATCCTTGTGATATCAACCTTCGCCATAACTTTTGAACAGTTGCAGCTAGTGCTTTCAAATTTCACAGGTATATTCCTCGAGACAAGACCTTTCTTTGGGTACCAACATTTTTTATCTTTTGGCCTGGATTTTTACTTGCATTTGAGAAACCTTAACCTTCGCCATAAGCTGCCATACGGGGGCATTACTGCTTCACAAACACATCTTGTTTATCATGAAATTGTCATTGAATGTAAATCAACGTCAAAATATCCCATCTTCACCTTATTTCAAAATATGATCTACAAACTTACATACCACACAAATTATGTCAAACTTACTTTTTACTTCAAGTACCGAAGGATGATACATTGTATTTCAGAAGTGACCTATCTTTTATTCTCAGATTTGAAAAAAATCCTCCATATTCAACCCAATTATATCCTAGCATATTAGCATATCCCATTCCCTTTCTCACAAACTCTTATCTCTTTCTGTCAATCATTTGTCCTAATTTTTTTTTGGTGAAATGTCTTAACCTACACCTTTTTTTTTCTGAAAGCTTTAGTGAGCTTTTTTGATTGAAATTGGTCCTTTGTCTGCCTTTGTTGTCTTTGACAACTTCACATTTTCATCTTCTTCTCCAGTACCACTGAGCCTATTTCAACCAAACTTGGGATCAGGACATCCTTGGATAATAGGATTCAAGTTTGTACAAATGAAAGGACGTGTCCTCTTTTAAGGAAAGGAAATAAAAAAAATCTGTGAAATTTTAATGGCATCTATTAAAATATTCTTTTCAAAAAGTACTGGACCCAAAAAATCTAAAACTTTTGGTAAAGATGCATTACTATTAAAGAAGTGTAGATTCATATTTATTCTCATCATGAACCCCGGGGCTAGGGTGGGGCCACGACAGGAATCTAACTTTTACATAGGAATATATAGAGAAAAAATCTTTAAAAAAAGATGTGTTTGTGAAACACTGATGCCCCCGTATGGAAACTTATAGCAAAAATTAAACTTTCTCAAACGCAAATCAAATATGTCGGTACCCAAAGTAAGGTTGTGTCTCAAGAAATATACCCGTGAAACATGAAAGCCCTAGCAGCAACGATTAAATAGATAAAGAAAACGTTTTAAAAAATTTCAAAAGTAAGTCAAACATCAAGATCAAGGTCAAATGGTCAAAATTAATGGGCCCCAAGGAAAGGCCTTTTCACAAGAAATACAAATATGAAATATGTAAGCCGTTGCATTAATCGTTTAAAAGTTATGGCCAAGGTTAAAGTTTTTCAAAAGTAGGTCAAACTCAAGGTCAATGGATTACGATTATTGGTATACGCGGCTAGCATAAGGCTGTCCGAAAAATATCAAACTGTTCTAACTGTAGTAACTTCTCTGAACTACCTAGATATGACGTCATAATAGCATATGACGTCAAGTCACTGCATACTTGAGTTGACATGACGGGGAAAATGTCATAACTTTTACATTCCTTTCACATGGCATGTAAAAATTCTTCGCATTATTGTTTGATTCAAGTGTCTGGATTGTTCTTTAAGCTTAATGTGTTGTTATGATGTTGATCATTTGCAATTTAATAACGTTATTCCTTTAACTTGTCCGATATACACTGAGTGGCCAAAAGTATTTGCAACAAACATGGATGACGTCATCACGTTGTAATATGGAATGCATGAGAAAAAAAAATTTCCTATAAAATAAAAGTTATTTACTTACAATATTCCTTAAGTATTTTGTTGCAGAGCCTTTTTGGATGATAACCTGTCGTAGTCTGGAAGGAATCGACGGATACAGGCTACGAATGTCTGAGAAAGTCCATTCCAGATTCTTGTGACTGCAGCCACCAAGTCATTCTTGTTTTCAATGTTGTCAGTCTCACGGCATAATTTGATTTTGATACAACGCCAGACATTTTCGATTATATTAAGGTCTGGGGACTGAGCAGGCCCACTAAATTTTTGAATACCGTTTTCTTGTTTCAAAGCATTGGTCTGTCTAGATGCGTGTGGGGTTGCGTTATCATCTTGGAAAATAAACTGGCGATTTCCAAACAATTTAACAACAACTGGCCATAAGTGATTATCTAGCAATTCTATATACTTTACAGAATTTAGATTTCCATCAACTGGCACAATAACACAAATCCCGTCGTACGTAATACAACCCCAAAACATACGACTTACTTTGATGGGT